TTGTTAGTGTTGAGTTAATGTTACAAGTGGATAATTTCACACCTGACTTCATGAGACGGGTCACAGTTAAAACTTTGTTTCATGCACAAAATTATTTAAAATATTATATAAAATTACCCTTAGTCTGTGTGAATAAGATGGGTAGGAAACAGGAATGAATTTCATGTTTAGACACGGTTCCCATCCCCAGGATGCCTGATCATGTTTATACAGATATTCCAAAATCCGAAACACCTGTGGTCCCAAGCATTTCAGATAAGAGATCCTCAACCTATATAAAGGGTGCAGTGTTTAAAGTAACTCCGTTTGTTGGTTTCATATCAGGGAATAGACATAGTCTATATGAATGACAGAAAAGTGCAAAGAGACCTGGCCTGCTGTTACGTACTAGGCAATTTGTCTTCATTAACAGCTTCTGAGGTAGCCACTGTCTTCTGGTTTGTGGATGATGAAACTGAGGTACAGAAGAAGGTTATGCAGCTGGGAAATGATAGGGGTAGGATTTGAAATCAGGCTCTTCAGTGTGTGTGTGTGCCTGTTCTAGGCATTGAGTTCTGGGTTGGTTTGTTCTTTAGTCAAAATTATCTTCTTTTTTATTGTGTAAATTGGTTATTTTGTTTTTCTATCCTTGATTTAGTACTTTTTAAAATTGAAAAAGAATATTGTGTTGGGTTTCATTTAACTGCCTTGTCATCGTGTCACCACAAGTAGCATTAAACAGCACATGCTGAGCTGGACATGGTGTCTCTTTCCTGTAATCCCAGCATTTTGAGAGGCCAAGGTGGGAGGATCATTTAACAACAGGAGCTGAAGACCAGCCTGGGCAGCACAGCAAGAACCTGTCTCTCTACAAGAAATAAAAATTAGCCAGGTTTGGTGACACATGCCTGTTGTTCCAGCTTCTTGAGAGGCTGAGGTGGGAGGGTCACTTGAAGCCAGGAGTTTGAGACTGCAGTGAGCTATGATTAACCACTGCACTCCAGCCTGGGGAGCAGAATGGGACTGTGTCTCCCATAAAAAGCACATGCCTTCACGGAAATTGAATGAATCATTGTATCAGTGGACTCTGTAAAAGTTGAAACAGGTACCATTCCATGGGACGGCCCGTGTCATAAAATAGGTTGTTTAAGCATTCAACCGATACCGTGCCAGGAACTGTTAAGATCTCTGGGACTGCATAGTGAACAGAATCAAAAGAGAGTATTTTTATACTCCATTTCCAGACAAAATGGATTTCTTGGAGATGTTGCTAAACAGCAGGATTTCAACCCTAAGCTGTTGCTTGTCACCTGTTCCAATAGCAGCAACAATCTTTTTTTTTTGAGATGGAATCTTGCTGTGTTGCACGGGCTGGATTGCAGACTCGGCTCACTGCAAACCCCTCCTCCTGGGTTCAGGAAATTCTCCTGCCTCAGCCTCTCCAACTGAGATTACAGGCGTGTGCTACTATGCCTGGCTAATTTTTGTATTTTTAGTAGAGTTGGGGTTTCACCGTGTTGGCAAGGCTGGACTCAAACTTTTGATCTCAGGTGATCTGCCTGCCTCAGCCTCCTAAATTGCTGGGATTGTAAGTGTGAGCCACCGCGCCTGGCCTAGCAGCAACACAATCTTTAATGAGCAGGTAGAAACAGCCGGAAGTGAAGTGGTGGGGGTACTAGGTAAAGGTCAGGAGTCCCATTTGAAACACAAATGCATGTTTTACTCGTCATGTAATCTTGGATTAGGCACCTCACCTTTCCAAGCCTCAGCTTGTTTTCATATAAACGGAGGATAGTCCCTCCCTAGTGGAGTTGATGTTGGTATAAAATGTGTGAAGTGCTTGACATGTAGGTCCCTTGCTAGTACAGGCGGTGTTGGAGATGAAGTGTGTGGCTTTATGAGGTATTATTTATTGGGTGGCGAAAACAAGAGTCTGTCCATTAAACTGACAGTGATAGATGCTTCCAGGTCAGTGGACTCCTTTCAGCAATTAGTGTGTGTGTGGTATAACAAAGGTGCTGTTAGATATGTTTGTGAGGCAGTGGAGGGCTTCAATTAAGTAGCCAAATAACAGTTGATGTAGTTGTGTAACTAGTTTTTATGTATCAGAATCCATTCATGCATTTTGACCCAGAAATGCTACTGTATCGGTCATGCAGTTGGCCTATGAATTAAGGCTAACTGGGTGTTGGAAGCCATGTAAGCTGAGATGTTCATAGAGACATTATCAGAGCATATAATAGAAAAAATCCACCTCGCTATTATCAACTGGTAGATGGTGTTTTAGCTCTTAGAATGTTGTCCTTAAACAATTACTTAGAAGTCTGACTGCCTCACACCTTGCATTTGTAATATAAGAGAAGGTAACTCTAACCTCAGGAATGCTGTGCAGCAAACATGGCAGAGGAGCCTGAGTGGGAATCAGTGTGGGGAGGTAGACAGGGCCTCAATTGGTAGGAATGTGTATTTTGTAGAAGGTGACAGAACCTTTTTTTTTTTTTAATTTTTTGAGACAGTTTTGCTCTTGTTGCCCAGGCTGGAGTGCAGTGGCATGATCTGGGCTCACTGCACCCTCCACCTCCCAGGTTCAAGTGATTCTCCTGCCTCAGCCTCCCGAGTAGCTGAGATTACAGGCATGTGTACCACACTTGAATTTTGTATTAGTAGAGACGGGGTTTCTCCATGTTGGTCAGGCTGATCTCAAACTCTCGACCTCAGGTGATCCGCCTGCCTTGGCCTCCCAAAATGCTGGGATTACACGTGTGAGCCCTGGAGCCTGGCCTCCATTGAAGGGTTTTTCCATCTTCACTGACTAGGGCTGGGTTTGGGTTGCTGCTGTGGTTGTGATGGTGAGCATAGCCAGCCATTGTAGGATTTGTTTGCTGCCCCCCCCACCACACTTTTTTTTTTTTTAAAGCCAGGGTCTTGCTCTGTTGTCCAGGCTGGAGTGCAGTGGCACAATCGTAGCTCACTGTAGCCTCTAGTCCTCCCAGTTCCTGGGCTCAAGTGATGCTCCTGCCTCAGCCTCTCAAGTAGCTGGGACCAGAGGCATCAACCACCACGTCCTGTCGCATTTTTTTTTCCCCTTGTTTTGTGTTGAGACAGTTTGGCTCTGTCTTCTAGGCAGGAGTGCAGTGGCGTTGTTCTGACGCACTGCAACCTCTGCCTCCTGTGCTCAGGCGATTCTCTTGCCTCAGCCTCCTGAGTAGCTGGGACTACAGTTTCGCATCACCATGCCTGGCTAATTTTGTATATTTTTTGTAGAAATGGGGTTTCCCTGTGTTGCCCAGGCTGGTCTCAAACTCCTGAGTTTAGGTGGTCTGCCTTCCAAAGTGCTGGGATTATAGGTGTGAACCACTGTGCCTGATGCATTTTTTGTCCTTTTTGGTTTTCATCTGCTTCATTAAAACAAATAATTTAGTTTTTTGAAAAAAACAATGTTAATACTTGTATTTTGAATTTTAAAAATAGCACATTTTATTTTGAAACAGTAAAAACTTAATTTTAAAAAAGTAGTTGTGTTAAATACAGAACAGTTGTAGATCATAATTATAGCTTTTTCTTAAATGTAGAGGGTTTTGTTGTGGTTGGTTGGTTTTACCTAAAGCTGTGTGATTCAGAGGTTTGGGATTTGCTGAGATACCGAAGAATGAACATTGACCAGTTTTCAGCTGGAACAACCCTTTAGCGAGGCTCTCAGGTGTATTTACTACATCTGAGTTGAAGGAACTTCATAACCACACCTGTTTTACTTTACATTTAAGGACATTTTTAAGCGATGTCTTTAGCTGAAAATACTTTAAATACATTTAGATTAGATTTTGAAATTGTATATGCCAGGCATGTTGACTCACACCTGTAATCCCAACACTTGGGGAGGCTGAGATGGGGAGGATCTCTTGAGGCCAGGAGTTTGAGACCAGCTTGGGCAACTTAGTCAGACCCTGTCTCTACAAAAAATAAAATTAGCTGAGCCTGGTGGCACATGCCTGTTGCCTCACCTACCCAGAAGGCTGAGGTGGGAGGATTGCTTTAGCTCAGAGGCTGCAGTGAGCCAGGATTGCATCACCACACTCCAGCCTTGGCAACAGTGAGACCCTGTCTAAAAAAAAATGTAAATTTTATTGATATCAACTTCTTCTGTTTAAGAAGTTCCCTAGAACCCACCCTTTATGTTCAGTTATAATGTCATCTAGTTCTATCAGTATAGAAATCATCATTAAAAGTGGGATAATACTGAGTACATTACGCAAGGTTTTTACACAAGCAGTACATCCTTAATGTAGAAGTAATGGAAGATACGGAATAAACAAATGTAATTAGAAAATAACCCCGTAAGTTAATTTGAAAGTGTGAACACTAGTAAATGCTTTGAATTACTCTAAAATAATTGAGCTAGCATTAATATATGTTTGTGTTGCCAAATTGTGTCATAAAAGATAAAGTAAATTAGAATTGATGTTATTCTGAAGTATGGTTATTTTAGTGCCGATAAGAGATTTTTTTTAGATGGACTTTTACTCTTGTCGCCCAGGCTGGAGTGCAGTGGTGCGATCTCAGCTCACTGTAATCTCTACCTCCTGGGTTCAGCCTCCCAAGTACCTGGGATTACAGGTGTCTACCACTCTGCTCGGCTAATTTTGGATTTTTAGTAGCAGTGGGGTTTCACCATATTGGTCAGGCCAGTCTCGAACTCCTGACCTCAAGTGATCCACCTACCTCAGCCTCCCAAAGTGCTGGGATTACAGGCATGAGCCACTGCGCCCAGGTGAGAAATTGTTATGAGTCAAGTTTGTGTGTGATGAAATGCACAGATCTAAAGTGTGTAGTTTAATGAATTTTAACAAATGCATATATCCAGGTAACCTCAGTCAAGGTCTAGAACATTTTCAATACTCTGGAAAGTTCCCTCCTGCCCCTTCTAGTGGACTCCATCCCATAGGCAACTATTGTTTTAAAAGTATATTGGACAAATATTTTTGTTTATGAATATAATGATTACAACTCTTTTTCATTTATAGGGATAAAAACATTCAGATGGCAGATAACAGGTAAGCCAAAGTGGACTTTGTTTATTGAAGTTTAAAATTCAGTTGGTGAGCAACAGCTAAGCCATGTTTCAATAAACATTAGAATCAAAGTTAAGTGCACTTCAGGGTCTAGCTGCTGGCTCATTCTTGTGTGTGTACTAGAGCACATGAGGAAATTACTTCAGATATAAACAGTGCCTCAGGTTGACACTTAGAGATCCTTTATGGAAAGCAGCCATTGTGCTCTCCCTGCATTGTAACAGTCCTGGGCTGAAGTCAGGTAAATAACTTGACACTATCCTAAGTGTCTGTAGTTGTCAGTGATCTAGTGGAAGATTTTGTTTTGTGGATCGAGGATCACTTTTAGTTGTGTATGTTATTTGATGTTTATTTTTTTATGAGGGAAGTGTGTCCAGGCATTTTTAAAAACTGTTTGATGGCTAATTGTATACTTTCCATGGCTAATTTTATAAAACCACTTTGGGCACTGTCTTAACTTGATAAGACTGCCTTGCTCTGATCACATGAGCAGCTGACCAAACAGCAACATGCTTGTTGGTTGATCGGTTTGGTTTGAGGGCTGGAAGCAGTGTTTTGAGGAAAGAAGCCGTAGAAATGAAAGTTGTCTAAGAAGCTTTGGCTAACGTTGGAAATAACTTTTTAGGGCTGTATGTTTGGGAGAAGAGGGGGTGTTAAGTAGTAGAATGTTTTCATAACAGAGTACAGTCTCTTAGGTAGCATAGACACAGTAGTAGTGGTCTTCTGCCCAAATCTGACATCACTGTACAGATACCTCTTAATATATTGAATAAGAAACTTGTCCATTTGTGCTATGTCTTTGGAACTTTCATTATAGTAATACTCTTAAAACATATTGTTGTTTTAGTTTTTCAGATGGGGTTCCTTCAGATTCCGTGGAAGCTGCTAAAAACGCAAGTAATACAGGTCAGTTCACTGCACATGAAAAACATTAGCAGTTGGAGAGAAGATTCCAGGATGGGGAATCTTCTTTCTGGAACCATTTATTAATGCAAGTAAGGGATTACTGTACTTCAGTGATTTTTAGGAAAGTTAGATTAATTAAAATGAAAACTCAGTTTCTCATTAATAAAAGATGTATTTATTATTTATTTATTATAGGAATTCAGACTCGACAATAGGAAAGCGAAAGTATAGTGTACCTTCCTTTGCCTACCATTACTCAGCTTTAGTATTGATCAACAAATGGCCAGTCTTTTATTTTTTGAGATGGAGCCTTGCTGTGTTGCCTAGGCTGGTTTTGAACTCCTGGGTTCAAGCGATTTTCCTGCTTCAGCCTTCCAAATAGTTGGGACTGCAGGCACAGACCACTGCACCTGGCCATTTGTTTTTCTATCTTACACCTTTAACTTTCCTTCCTTTGGTTGTTTGGAAGCAGATCCTAGGAATGTCATTTTGTTCATAAATTCACAGATGTAATATCTTTCCCCCATTAAAAAAAACCCTATATATCTATTCCCCACTCCCTCCAAACTGTTTGAAAACAAGTGGTGGCTTTCTTTTTTCCTAAAACTTTTCTACAATGCTGTTACCGAGAAACTTAATGTTGGAACAATACTGTCATCTAACATGCAGTCATGTTCCTATTTCCTGGCTTTTCTCAGCAATTTTTATCCCACACCCAAATCTAGCACCTACTCAAGGATTACGTATTTTGTTTTGTTCTAGCTCCTTTGTTCTAGAGTCACCTCCCTACCTTTTGCATCTTTTAATACGTTGACACATCAGAGTGGTGTGAGCCACTGTTGTCTTATAAAATGCCCACAGTCTGGATTTGCCTAGTCATTTCTTCCTGATGAGATTCAGGGTAAACATTTGGCAAGAAGGGCACACAGGTGACGTGATGCAGTGGTCATTGCTTCGGGAGGCACATGATGTTGGTTCAACACCTGTCTGGGGACACTGAGATTGATGACTTAATGATTAAGACAGTGCTTGCCAAACTTCTCTGCTATCAAAGTCCTTTGACCTTGCAAGCAGTCTGTCAGGCACGTATAGATATCTTCTTCTCCTTCAGCAAACTTTCACACAGTGATTTTAGCACCCATTGATGATCTTGCCTGATAACGTTGGTGGTTGCAAAGGGATGTTTTTCTAATTCTGCCAATTCTTCCACACGTTCCGTTAAAGAAGAACTTACCCCTTCCTTATTTTAGTGTCACTATAGACTCATGAATTACTGGTTTTTTTGTTTTGTTTTGTTTTTTGAGATGGAGTTTCACTCTTGTCGCCCAGGCTGGAGTGCAATGGCACGATCTTGGCTCACTGCAACCTCCACCTCCTAGATTCAAGGGATTTTCCTGCCTCAGCCTCCTGAGTAGCTGGGATTACAGGTGCCCACCACCAAGCCCAGCTAATTTTTGTATTTTTATTAGAGATGGGGTTTTACCATGTTGGCCAGGCTGTTCTCGAACTCCTGACCTCAGATGATCCACCTGCCTTGGCCTCCCAAAGTGCTGGATTACAGGCGTGAGCCACTAAGCCTGGCTGAATTACTGTTTTTATTCAGTGTGTTGTCAGTTGCCATCGTTTTTCTTCTTGGTGTGCAAATTGTCCCATTTGGCCAGTGGGGATCCCTTCAGGCTGGATTCTGGGTCCCCCCACCCCCCCCCTTTTTTTTTTTTTTAAGACAGAGTCTTGCTCTGTAGCACAGGCTCGAGTGCATTGATGCAGTCTTAGCTCATTGCAGCCTCCGCCTCCCAGGTTCAAGCCATTCTCCCTCAGCCTCCCCAGTAGCTGGGATTACAGGCACATGCCACCATGCCCGACTGATTTTTGTATTGTTAGTAGATACAGGTTTTCACCATTTTGGCCAGGCTGGTCTCAGACTCCTGACCTCAGATCTGCCCACCTTGACCTCCCAAAGAGCTGGGATTATAGGTGTGGCTACTGCCTCTAGGTTCTTTCAACTCTTTGGTTCTTGAGTACTTCTAGCTTTGTAGTGTGATGTTCCATTTTATCTTGTATTTTCCTTGCCCTAGACCTGAAAATCCACTGTTGATTCAAAAGACTTTGATCCTTCTAATGGAGGAAGATACTTACTTGGTTGGTGCAAAAGTAATTGCGGCTTTTGCCATTACATTTAATGGCAAAAACTTCAATTACTTTTGCACCAACCTGTTGAAACCAAAACACAGATACTAGATGTCATTGTTTGTAGGCCCTTTCAGTGGACAGAGCTAGAGGAGATGTGTGTTTGTGTATGCATGAGTATTTACATACTATACATGTGTACACAGTTTTATATATACAAATTATGTACATTAAATACACTTCATGTGCCTCATGTGAGTGGTTGTGTTTGCAGTTCTATTATAAATGTTTAAAATTGAGTGCCTAGGCCAGGCGCAGTGGCTCAAGCCTGTAATTCCAGCACTTTGGGAGGCCGAGGCAGGCAGATCATGAGGTCAAGAGATTGAGATCATCCTGGCCAACGTGGTGAAACCCTGTCTCTACTGAAAATACAAAAATTAGCTGGGGGTGGTGGTGCACACCTGTAGTCCCAGCTCCTCAGGAGGCTGAGGCAGGAGAATTGCTTGAACCCTGGAGGCAGAGGTTGCAGTGAGCCAAGATTGTGCCACTGTACTCCAGCCTGGAGCCTGGCAGCAGAGTGAGACTCTGTCTCCAAAAAAAAAAAAAAAAAAATTTTGAGTGCCTACTTGGTGTGTTTGACTTACCACATCATGGGAGAATAGTTGAGTATGTACTGGCCCTGAGTAAGGCAAGGGCGATGAGTTTGGGTTTCTGTATTGTGTCATTAGGAGGGAAATTGTTAAAGAGTCTGTATCACAAGCCAGATGTCTGCCACTCCTTAGTCACAACTGAGTAAAGGGACAGTCACTACCCTCACAGGGTCTCATTCATTGGTTTATTGGGAAATGGGCTTCTGAATACAAACTCCTCAGGACTGTGAGCTCACTACACACCTGGGTTAGCCGTAAGTGGGTGGAATGGTCGGAAGTGCTTCCTGGACTGAGGTGGGTTTGGGCAGAAGAACATTGAAGGCAGAGGTGAGCAGCACATGCAAAGAACAGTGCCATCAGGGGCTGGTGAGCACTGGGCTCTCCTAGACTGAAGTCCATGGCAGCACAGTGAGCGAGGGTGCTAGTGGGTGCTCTTCTGCCTTGAGTTACTGATCTCATCTCTGTTCTTGGCTTCTGGACACCACAGTGGGACACGTGGGTAGACCACGTGAACTTAATTATTAATGATGTCCTCAGTTGTTTAAGCCTGGAGCTAAACAGCCACAGTCCTGGTGAGAGCCAGGACTGTAGGTATTTGTTCAGTAGATTTGTAACGACCCATCAGGTGATTAACCTGTTAAATTCCTTTTAAAATAAATTTTAATTGTTTTCAAAACATGTTTAAGAAGTCACTGGTATATGTATTTAGAAATTAGATGTAAATCTAGGCAAAGCTAAGTAGGTGATGTTACTAATTTTTGACTCTTGGCTATTGTGTGTGGTGGGCATATTTTAAATGTGTTTGGTTTTAACTCTTCATAGAGAAGCTCACAGATCAGGTGATGCAGAATCCTCGAGTTTTGGCAGCTTTACAGGAGCGACTTGACAATGTCCCTCACACCCCTTCCAGCTACATTGAGACGTAAGTATGCTGTGAATAGGGTCTCATGCAATCTGAAGAAACAAAAGGAGGACAAAGGAAAACCCGTTTTTCAGTTACTCAGAACAGGAATAAATGTGTTTTTCATTTGTTGTCTCTGAGAGACAGGCACTGGTAAGAGAGGAGTGACCCTGTACCCTGTGCTTAGGCGCAGAGTTTGCCTGGCGGATGAGTAGTGTCTCGTCAGTTGTCTGATAGGAAGTGCACAGTGCCATCTTGTGGAGGCCTGGAGGACTTCATGGATCATCCAAGGTGGGGAGGACAGCTGGTGGCTTCTAAGTTAACTCAAAGGACTGCTCCTTCCTGGCTTACCCACATGAGCCTGCGACACTAACACCTTAAAAAAAAATTAGCTGGGCATAGTGTCGCACGCCTCTGAGTTTTCACTACCCCTCAGCCTGGGTGACAGCGAGACTGTCTTAAAAAAAAAAAAAAAAAAAAAAAAAAGTGGGGTCTTGCTATATTGCCTAGGCTGGTTTTGGTTTTGAACTCTTGGGCTCAATTGGTTCTTCTGCCTCCACCTCCCAAAATGCTGGGATAACGGGTGAGCCACCACACCTGGCTTACACCTTTGCTTTCTCACAACAGGCCTATGTCCTAGGTGTATTGCAATATGAAAATGAGAAGGATGGTGATCCTCAAATGGCTCATCAGGACCTCCCTCTCTCAGTTCTGGAAGGAATTTTGGTTTTTGAGTTGGAGTCTCACCCTGTAACCCAGGCTGGAGTGCAGTGGCATGTCATAGCTCATTGTAACCTTGAACTCCTGAGCTTAGGTAATCCTTCTACCCCAGCCTCCAGAGTAGCTGGAACTATAGGCGTGTACCACCATGCCTGGTAATTTTTATTTATTTTTTTTTTGAGAGGCATGAGCTGTTACTGGGCTTCCATCTGTAATTGGGTCAGGGCTTGGTCTCTCAAAGGTCCCACCTTACATACTGGTTTCCCCAGTTACGACTGCCAGGGCTATTATGACAAGAAGGGGACTTTGTTTTTTTTTTTTTGTTTTTTTTCTGAGACGGAGTTTCGCTCTTGTTACCCAGGCTGGAGTGCAATGGCGCGATCTCGGCTCACCGCAACCTCCGCCTCCTGGGTTCAGGCAATTCTCCTGCCTCAGCCTCCTGAGTAGCTGGGATTACAGGCACGCACCACCATGCCCAGCTAATTTTTGTATTTTTTTTTTTAGTAGAGACGGGGTTTCACCATGTTGACCAGGATGGTCTCGATCTGTCGACCTCGTGATCTGCCCGCCTCGGCCTCCCAAAGTGCTGGGATTACAAGCTTGAGCCACCGCGCCCGGCCAACTTTGTATTTTTTTTGAGACAGAGTTTCACTCTGTCACCCAGGCTGGAGTGCAGTGGCACACTGTCTCAGCTCACTGCAACTTCCGCTCCTAGGTTCAGGTGATTCTCCTGCCACAGCTGGAATTACAGGTGTGAGCCACCATGCCCACCTAGCTTTTTTGTATTTTTATTTTTATTTATTTGTTTTTTTTGAGACGGAGTTTCGCTCTTGTTACCCAGGCTGGAGTGCAATGGCGCGATCTCGGCTCACCGCAACCTCCGCCTCCTGGGTTCAGGCAATTCTCCTGTCTCAGCCTCCTGAGTAGCTGGGATTACAGGCACGCGCCACCATGCCCAGCTAATTTTTTGTATTTTTAGGAGAGACGGGGTTTCACCATGTTGACCAGGATGGTCTCGATCTCTTGACCTCGTGATCCACCTGCCTTGGCCTCCCAAAGTGCTAGGATTACAGCACTTGAACCACTGCACCCGGCCATATTTTTATTTTTTATATTTTACTTTAAGTTCTGGGGTAGATGTGCTGAACTCAGGTTTGTTACGTAGGTGTACGTGTGCCATGTGATTTGCTGTGTGCTTTTTTGTATTTTTAGTGGACACGGCGTTTTGCCATGTTGGCCAGGTTAGTCAGAGTTTGCTTTGCCCATTTAGAAGTTTTCCAGGGGATTACTTAGTGGGTAAGACGTTTTGATGTTATTTTTTTGCAGGCTAGATTGATGATATAGAGTGATACTGAGCAGGAGTGGCAAGAATTGAGAATGAGTAATGGTTTCCGGTTTTCTCGCTTTAAAACTGGGTTAGTGGGGTGGCATTCTGTGAGAGGAGCTGCTTGGGCGGCAGCTAGTTTATGCGGGACTAGAAGTGGTTCCGTACTGGCCATATTCCAGGAAAAGTGCCCTCGGGCCCGGGCGTAGTTGATAGGAATGATTGGAGTTCTGCGGGGGCACACTAGGGTCCAGTTTGTTTAACGTGCTTTGTCATTTTACTTCAATTGGAAAGTTTCAAAAATTGAACCAATTTAAAGTTGTGTAATGAGCCAGACATGGTAGCTAAAACCTGTAATCCTAGCACTTTGGGAGGCCAAAGCGGGCAGATTGCTTGAGCCCAGGAGTTTGAGACCAGCCTGGGCAATGTGGCCAAACCCCATCTCTACAAAATGCAGAAAAATGAACTGGCCTGGTTGTGTGCCCCTGTAGTCCCTCAACTCGGGATGCTGAGGTGGGAGGATCATTTGAGCCCAGAAAGTTGAGGCTGCAGTGAGCTGAGACTGTACCACTGCACTGCAGCCTGGGCAACAGAGTTAAGACCCTGTGACAGTAAATGAATGATCAGTGCAGAAATGAGGTACAGATGCCAGAGAGAATCTTCAATTTTGTTAAGTTCTTTATGCTTTTCCCTTGTTTTCATCTACTAGCGGTAGTTCTAGAATGTTAAACATTATTTGAGAGTCTTTGCTTAAATTAAGGATCTTTAGCTTGAGGTAGCTGTGGCTATGTCTCACCCAGGAGAGTGGTCCTTTGGGATGCAAGGCAGTTGTTCTAGCACCTCCCAGCCCGGTGATACCTGTGTGAGAGTTGCCTATTGTTCTCTGCAGTTTGTTGTTGGAGGGTAAGTCATGCACTTAGACTTCAGGACTCTGATCATGTGAATGAATATTCAAGATGCAGGACCCATGGCCTTGCCCCAGGTAGATTATTTGGGTCTGTGATGAGGCCAGGAATCTGTTCTTGAGTCCACATGATTGTGACCAGGGGCTTTATTTTAAACACATAGTTCTGTTGGGTTAAAAACAGGGATTTATCTTTTGATTTATGGAAGTTTTACATACAAACTAAAATATTTTTTAAAACATACAGCAGGATTGAAAGACAAACTCATTGCTGGCCTGACTCTAAAAGACAAACTTGTGTTATCTGTGATCTGTGTTTCTGGGATTTTTCCTCCAGTGTGTTAACAAGTGGACTCCCGCGTGGCACTGAGTATTCTGGACAGTGTGATGATGAATAGGCCGTGTTTGAATACTGTTGAACTTCTATCGTGTAGTTTTCAGTTTTACGGATCTATCGACGGACACCCTCCAGCATGAATACTTGATGAGGATAAATTTTTTTTTTCCTTTTGGTAAGATAGGGTCTTGCTCTGTTGCCCAGGCTGGAGGGCAGTAGTGCAGTCATACACAGCTCCCTGCTGCCTTGACCTCCCAGACTCAAGTGATCCTGCTGCCTCAGCCTCCTGAGTAGCTGGGACTACAGGTCAGGTGCACATCACCATGCCTGGCTATTCTAAAAAGTTTTTTGTAGAGAGAGGTCTTGCTCTATTGCTTGGGCTGCTCTTGGAGTCCTTCCCTCAAGCAATCCTCCCAGCTTGGCCTCCCAAAGTGGTGGGATCACAGGCATGAGCCACTGCACCCAGCTTGAAGGATAAATTCTTAAAGTTAGAATTACTGGGTCCAAAGAAGATTTTCAGTATTTCTGCCCTTAAGAAAGATGAGTCAGTTAGAGGGCTTCTTAGCCCTTAGCCTCATAAAACCTAGGTGTTTTGTTTTGATTTTAATTGCCAATTTGGTAAGAAATAGATGAGTGTTTTTAAATGTTTACATTATTTTGGATATTTTATGAGATCGAATCTTTCTTCATGTTGGACAATTTGTGTTTATTCTTTTGTGAATTGTCTTTTCTGCTTCCTCCTGTACCCTTTTTTCCTATTGAGATGTTCATCCTTAATGATTTTTAGGAGGTCTCGTTCATTGTAAGGATGTTAGTTCTGCTAACCTGAATTTATTTTAATAGAATGGAAAAGCGTGCTTCCTTATTTTGCAGGCATGAAGATGTTGTCTTTCTTATTCCCTTTTTTAGTTTACCTAAAGCAGTAAAAAGAAGAATTAATGCATTGAAACAACTTCAGGTGAGATGTGCTCATATAGAAGCCAAGTTCTATGAAGAAGTTCATGACTTGGAAAGAAAGTACGCAGCATTATACCAGCCTCTCTTTGACAAGGTAGGGGACTCTGTTAATGAGTTTAATATACAGATAGTCTCCAACCTACGACGGTGTTACATTCTGATAAACCCAGTATATGTTGACAACATCTAGGGAAGAAAGGCATCTCCCCTCCCGGATTTAGCTTAGTCTGGACTACCTTAAACAAGCTCAGAGCACGTTGATCTTCCACAAAGCCTGTTTTATAATAAAGCGCTAAGTATCCCGTGTCCTGTACCGAACACTCCACTGAGAGTTGAGCACAGTGTGGCTCTGTGGGTGCCCAAAGTGTGGTGCTTTCTGCACCATCGTAAGTTGAAAGTCTTTAGTCAAACCATTGGAAGTCGGGGAGCATCTTTATTTTAGATCTTTAGGTGAAACATCCAGAGTTACCCAGGGAAACATGCAATATTTTTCTTTGAACCCTAAGATTTAGAATCTTAAAATAGTTATAAAAATAACCAGTTTTCAAAGTCTCTTTGTAGACATTATTTATACATTTAACTCTTGAGTTTCCAAATAAGCTAATAACATAATTCTAATAAGGCCTCATTTTTATGTAGAGAAGAGAATTTATCAGCGGTGATGTTGAACCAACAGATGCGGAATCGGAATGGCACAGTGAGAGTGAAGAGGAGGAGAGACTGGCTGTAAGTCTTTAGAAAAATGAATTCTGTTGAAAATAAGCATTTGTACGTGCTTTTAATTACTAGTAAACTTTGGTGCTTCTCACAGTAGCTGCTGCTGTATCATTAGGTTGGGTGTTTAGATTCCTTTCTGATACGGATCTAGCATCTGACAGCCCTGTCAGTTAGCAGGGGGAAGGTGTAGTACCTCCTCAGTTAGCTGTGGACAGGAGCATATCGAAATAAGGGGTCAGACGAACAGAGGTCGAAACTTCAGAGGAAGCAGAGATCAAGAGGAGATACTCCTGTGTGCTCAGTCACTGGACGATGGGAGGACTTGGGAGGCGAGTACCTTTCTGCTCAGTGGCATGGACTAGCGCGCGCCCTGAGAGGGGCTCAGCCCGTGGATTGGTTGAGTATGGTGGTTGTGGTGTGACTGTCAGTCACCTGCTCACAGCCTTCTTCTAGTGACTGGTCCCATTCCAGTGCTGTGAAAACTCCCAGTACACAGGTTAACTTTGTCAGCCTGATTTTATGTTTGGGAGACAAGTAACTTTTATCCTATAACTAATTTTTTGCAGTTTTTATTTGTTTGTTTTGAGGTGTATGATAATTTTGGTGGCCATATGTGTTTTTTGATCCTTTAAAAATATGTAGAACTTGGCTCAGTTGAAGCCATGGCTATAATTTCCTACAGCTGAAGGGAAATCTGCCTTCGCTGATTTAAAAAGCCTGCAAGATCATTTCATCGTAACAATCCCATTTGGCAAGACATTCCGAATTTACCATGGTTCCGTTTAGTGTTGTGTTTTACTTCCCTTGGTCTACCTTTTCCGTGGGGCCTGATGTTACAGTTTCCCTGCACTTTGCCAGGTAGCCTTTCTGGTCACTTTCTGATGGTTGCATAGTGTTCGTGAAACGGCATTTAATAGCCATAGCCGTTTCCTTAGAACTGGGTTAGTTGCAGAGTACTTTCTTGCTGCAGATACTGCTGCAGCAAATTATTATTATTATTATTATTTTACTTCAACTTACTGCCCCCCGCCCCGCAAATTGTAACCAAAGGTCAGATTGTTAGTCCAAGTGAGCTTCTTTATCCCTGCACTGGACTTTTTTCACTCGGTGATAGATGTTCTGCATATTTGTGTTGCATCTCCCAAGGTTGAGGTACAGTCTTTGCATCTGCATTTGTGGTGATGATTGTCTGAAGATGGCACCTCACAGAGCTAGCACTGGGTGGCCTTTCCCAGAGTTGGTGGCACTCTGTCATCTCTTTAGTTTTTTCACCTTTGATGTGAGATCATATCATGGATTTCCATGTGGACGCAATATCTTGAATGCTTTTTTCCCTCAGAAACGTGAAAAGTGTCGCATGGCCCAGTGAGTGGCTTAGACATGCAGACTCTGAAAGAAAGGTTTTTGATCAGAGAGAAGACAGGGTTTGGAAGTGATACTCGGCATTAGTCCACTGAGTTATTTGTAAATTTGTATTTTTGTGATCTATTTGCATCTTTTTTTTTTTTTTTTTAGGGAGACGTGAAAAATAAAGTAGTCATAACAGAAAAAGAAGCAGCAACAGCTGAAGAGCCAAATCCCAAAGGAATTCCAGAGTTCTGGTTTACCATCTTTAGAAATGTAGATATGCTAAGTGAATTAGTCCAGGTAAGCACATTTCTAAGTTACAGAGAAATTACTTGGTAGTCGTCGTCTTTTTTTTTTTGAAACAGAGTTTTGCTCTTGTTACCCAGGCTGGAGTGCAGTGGTGCGATCTCAGCTCACAGCAACCTCTGACTATCTGGTTCAAGCGATTCTCCTGCCTCAACCTCCCTAGTAGCTGGGCTTACAGGCACGCACCACCACCCAACTAATTTTTGTATATTTAGTAGAGATGGGGTTTCACCACGTTGGCCAGGATGGTCTCGATCTCCTGACCTCGTGATCTGCCTGTCTCGGCCTCCCAAAGTGCTGGGATTACAGGTGTGAGCCACCACATCCAGCCTACATGGTAGTCTTCTAACATTACTTGTCTATGGTGTTTTTGAAGCACTAAACTCAGCTTTTGAAAGGTACTTTCTTTGACCAGGACCTCAGGTGACCAGTCCTAATCTCATAGTGAATGGTTTATTCACAGTGAATGGTTTATACCACTTCCATGCTGTCTTTTGCAGCTTTTGTTAGAAAGCCAGGCACCTCTGAGTCTCATCCAAAACTTTCCAATCAGTTCCTTACCTTTTACTCCCTATAAAGGTCTCTTGCCTTGCCTGTGGGGAAGCCTCTGAATAGATTGAGAGCCCACCTCCATCTTACTATGGTGTGAGTGCGCAGGACAGCGTCAGAGTAGGATAATTAAGTTTGAAGGGATGAAGGGTGCGCATACACACATCTCTAATTTTTGAACAAGTTGCTGATGTTTTCTGAACATCTCTTTTGAAAAAGTACTATTTTTTTTTTAAAAAAAAAGAAAAGGCCAGGCATGGTGGCTCATATCTGTAGCCCCAGCACTTTGGGAGGCCGAGGTGGGCAGATCGTTTGAGACCAGCCTGGGCAGCATGATGAAATTCCATCTCTGCAAAAAATTACAGAAGTTAGCTGGGCATCGTAGTGTGCACCTGTGGTCCCAGCTCCTTGGGAGGCTGAGGCAGGAGGATCACGTGAGCCCAGGAGGTCGAGGCTGTGCTGAGCCATAATCACGCCACTGCACTCCAACCTGGTGAGTTGCAGAGTGAAACCCTGTCTCAAAAAATCTGTATATAGCCAACCTTTCTGTTTTTGTCTTGGCATGACATTTTACTTTTTATGGTGAAATGGTGAACAAATTAAAAGATAACAAATTTGGGTTTCCCTGAAATGAGTTGTTATAGAAGTTTCTAGAATACAGAAACAAGTCTTGCCTTAAGTCTCACTGACTGACTTGCTGTTGGTTTTTATTGCTCCAGAGTCCCCAGAAACTGCACGTCTGCATTCAGACTTGCTCAGGACAGCTCCAGGCTCTGCTTGTGTGGGCAGTGCTTCTCCCGTCCAGAGCATAGCCACTGTCCCTTGCAAACTGCCCTGTTGTCATTTGCACAGGATTTTACAACTACATTTTTAATAGGCTTCAGAAATGTATCCCCTTGCTGCTTCTGCTGCCTCCCTTCTTCAATGCTTATCCTTTGTCCTAAGCCAAACCTTAAGAAAATATGGAAAGAATGATGCATTTCTGACTCTCCTTCCAGACCAAAAAGCATCTACAATAGAACAGCCTTGGTTTTCCTGATCTGAGCTTCCTTTTCCTATCAAAAGGTAGAATTTAAGACTACTAGACCATACTTTTAAAAGAATGCCATGAGCCAGAATTTTATTGGAAAAATGAAGTCATGTGTACCAGAGCTGTAGTCTCCCGATAGCACACTCATCTGAGCAGCTTTGAGAGTTTTGAGGTGGTTTTAGGAAGTCCTCATGTGACTCCTTGAGAGTTGAGAGTTGAAAATCCCCATGGCAGGGAGCAGGTGGAAAGATTGGCTTATAGGTTATTTCTTCTCAGACTTTGGGGACACGGGGAGTGGTATAGAAGTGCAGATTCTGGTTTTGTGGGGCTGCCTGTCTCACGTGTCCTGGCGTGATGCTTGCCCTGCAGGCTTGGAGTGTCCTCACCTGGGATTGAGGGTGCAGCGATACAGGGTTTGGGAGCTGGAGTTAGGTGACTTGAACGGGTTTTGGTGTCCTCTTCTGTGCGTGTGGCAACCTGGTTGGTTATGGCGTTGGGGTCACTGCCTTGGGTTTTGACAGCACAGAGGGACATTTGGCCACATTTTAATGGGGTGTCCCTTCTCATTCTCCCAGCACCTTTGTTAGTGTCGGTGCTTCTGTATTTCAGCCCTGAAGTGTCTTAATTGCTTTTTGTTTTAAAAGCTTAAAAAGATATGCAGGAGTTGATAAAGTACTCATTTAATAGCAGAGAATGACGAAATGTTATTTGTAACCTCATAGCAGGTAATGGTAGCATGTTCTATTTTGAGTTTTTTAACAATTGTTTTTTAATGTCTCGTTTTGAAGTCTGCCATTTTTGAGAGAAGCCCTTTCCTTTTTAAGGGATGTGGTCTTGCTGTGGTGCCCAGCCTAGAGGTCGCTAGAGCCACTGACGTGGCTTTTCATAGGCACAGTCATAGTGTACTGCTTTTTCATTCTCCTGGCCTCGAGTGACCCTCACGAGCAGCTTGGAATACAGGTGTGCGCCACTGTGCCCAGCTCATTTTGGTCCAGTATTAAATCCCAAAGACGGATTGACTCTAAGTCCCTTTGTTCTCAAAATTTGGGAATTGTTGAAATACATTTCTCCAAGTAGAGTTGTGAAAATTTGAGATAGTGGCTTTCTGTGCCTTTGGTTCCTGGGGTGTCTGCTGACGTGGGACATTGCATTGTATTTGCCCTGGACTTGAAAGTTTTGGCTCACAGGGCACATGGCTACTTGAGGAAATTAGAACAGAGTGGTTATTTCATGAAGTTTGGGAGAACATCAGTGGGCACTGCTCCTTTGAGTGGGATGAGTTTGAAGTTCCCAGTGCCACCTGTGGAAAGCATGCTGGTGAAAGTGCTCATCCTAGGGATCCAGAGCCAGCGTGTATTTCGGTGGGTAGCACGCGCAGCGTTGGAGACTGAACGTCACGTGCAGGTGTGGCCCATTTCACAACTGCCTTTGGGTTACTTTTTGTCTAGAGACTTGCAGGTATCTTTTTGTTTTGTTCTATAATGGCAGAAGAATTGAAAATTAGGGCTCACTTAACGGAAAGTCAGGCACAGAAAGGTAAATTGCCTCATGGTCACACTCAGGTGGGAGCTACAGAAACAGCTCACTGAAGCGGAGAATTGTTGTTAAAGGCTAAGAAGGGGAGACGGGGAGGCTGAATCGGGAGAGGACTGTTACCAGATACAGAGCGCTGCTGGATAGGAGGAGTAAGTGCTGGTGTTGTGTAGCACTGCAGGGTGAACGTGGCTGACGGTAATTTAGTGTATGTTTTCAGAAAGCTTGAGGACAGGTTTTGAATGTTCAGAAATAAATGTTTGAGATCGTGGTCCTGATCCATTACACATAGTAGACATGCATCAAAATGGGTATTCCCAGACTTCGTGGGTAAAGAAGTGACTATGGTGTTAGAAACAAAGGACCTGCCACTAGGGCGTGGTTGGAAGGATTCAGGTCTTACCCCTCCTCTTCTGACTTTCCTCACTTGGACTTTCTAAGCTGACAGGTATTGGCAAACTCTGAGTTTAAAGAAATATCACTTGTCAAATGATACAGCCACAGATAAGAATTTGCACACTCTTGTGCCTGCAAGTTAGAGATCAGACACACTTTGTGTAAGTGTTCTTAAAGAAGTGACCTGTGGGGCCGGGCGCGGTGGCTCAAGCCTGTAATCCCAGCACTTTGGGAGGCCGAGGCGGGTGGATCACGAGGTCAAGAGATCGAGACCATCCTGGTCAACATGGTGAAACCCCGTCTCTACTAAAAATACTAAAAATTAGCTGGGCGTGGTGGCGTGTGCCTGTAATCCCAGCTACTCAGGAGGCTGAGGTAGGAGAATTGCCTGAACCCAGGAGGCGGAGGTTGCGGTGAGCCGAGATTGCGCCATTGCACTCCAGCCTGGGTAACAAGAGCGAAACTCCATCTAAAAAAAAAAAAAGAAGTGACCTGTGTATCGTGAGTTTTGGATGCAGTCATGAGCCACATAACACATTTTGGTCAACAGCAGACTGCATTTAGGCCAGTGGTCCTGTAAGATGATGATACCGTATTCTTACTGTACCTTCTCCGCGTTACCAGCTGCTTTCAGTATTGATACAGTCACATGCTGTGCAGGTTTGCTGCCTAGGAGCAATAGTGTATAGTGGGCTGCACCGTCTAGCTGTGTGTGAATATACTCTGATGATCACACACAAGTTGCCTAGCAGTGTTTCTCAGGAGATGCCCCCGTTGTTAAGCCACACACAACTATATTGCCACGGGTGGGGAAGCTGGCTGCCAAGGCTGCAGCTGATCTGGCCTTCTCTTCTAACTTCCAGGCTTCTCTGCCTCCTCGGAGAGGCTACAGACCAGCAGGCTTGGTTGGTAGCTTTTCTCATCTCTGTGTGCCGTGGGAGCTGCTGGCAGGAAAGCAGCAAAGCCCTTGCCCCCCAGTATTGCAGGCAGGCAGTGTCAGTGGCACTGTGCTTCACTAGCGGTGATAGCCACCATTGCTGCACACCAGGGAAGGTGGACACCTTGGTGCTGCTTCTCTGTGACAGGGAGTTGGTGAATAAGTTTGGGTTCCTTCCTGGTAGTTATTACTTGACAAGGGCAGAATTCCAATAGGGCCGATGATGCAACATCTGGGAGCCTAAACATCCGTGACTCTTGGGGAGAGATGTGTTGTGTTTTAAAATCCTATTGGAAATGTTTTTCTCTTTTTGATTAGGAATATGATGAACCAATCTTGAAACACCTTCAGGATATTAAAGTGAAGTTTTCTGACCCTGGACAGCCTATGGTGAGTACTGACTTGACCTTCTGATTGGCATCAGGAGTTAGACTCAGTACTGCATTGCCTGTCTGCTCCCTGAGAGTTAGATGGGGATTCCATTGCCTTTCTGTGTCCCGCTTGGCACTGTAGTCGTGAGTCTGTGCCGGATGATTTGACAGTGATTGAGACCATGTGATGCCCCAGAGCCAGATGGGCACCAACACAGGAGTCATCTTGCAGGTCCTAGTCTGTGGGGGTGTCCACTGTGCCAGGCCTCGCTCTTGTAGTTTGTTTGTTCACCCTGTTGGGCGGAGACGATACTATTCTTTTCCCAAGTGTCTTTCAAGTTTGCATCCTTCTGATGCATATTTTTAAAGTTTAAAAGGATGGGAGATATGTACACATAATGATCAGCACTTACTCAGAAATCTGAACCTACTGGGTTTTATCCTTTTAAAAAAAGTGCAGATAGGACTGAAAAGTGTTTTTCTTTCTGGTTTTTGATTTGTCCTGAAACACATCTTTACAAAATGCTTGCCATGGTGTGTCATTGCACTAGTGATGTCAGTGGCATGGATCGGCCTGCCAATTGTTAGGACAAGTTTCACTGTATCAGCCCTTTTTTACCTGAGGAAACATAGGCTCAGCCTCGGATAGCCTCGCTGGGCTGTCTCATCCTAGCCTGGTTCTTCCAGGCAGCACTGTTCGTAACCTGTCAGCCTGGCTGTAGCTCACGGGTTCCATTCCGGTGCAATAGCATTTCCAGCGGCACATGACTGACTGACTGGTGGCTTTCAGTTTCAGGTCTTGGAGACAAATACTGCATGAGGGGCCATGGGTTCGGGATCTTGGGGGTGGGTGGTGCTGGGAACCTGGGACCAGTCAGCAGTCCCTTCCCTCCTTCCCATCTCAGCACTGGGGCCCAGGCTAGTGGATGAGGACCGGCATGAGTGGGCTTTCTTTATTGCAAGTGCTGCAGGTAGTGCCTGGGGCAGTGGCAGAGGTGGGTGGTGGATGTACCTGTATCTGTCCTTTCTACTTTTTCCTGTCTATTTTCCACTGTGGAAGGTGACATTCAGGTGTCCATCTCTGGGGGAAGGCACTGGGAGCCAGGAGTGATACCTGCTCACCAGCTGGGGGGCTCCCTCCAGAGGGGACACCCCATCTTCCCTTTTCCATGTGGGTTATAGCAGGTCCTTCTTCCTGGGCTTGCGTCACTTTTGTTAGGGCTTGATCACAGTGCCCCTCGGAGCTGCCTGGGCACTTCTGCCTAGTTTGCCCTCATTGGGTGTGGTGTATGTATGATGCTTTTAAGATTCTGTGTTTCCTTGTACTTCTTACCTGTGATTCATCCAGACTCAATTAACTTTTTTTCTCTTTTGGGTCAGTTCCTTTTTTTCCCTTTCTTTTCTCTTACTGGACACCTGTTTGATGATTTCTGAGGTCAGTTTTCCTTCTCAGCTTGTCATCTTATTTCCTCCATCTCTTGGTGACTCTGGACTAGAGCTCTAGCTGTGGTAGACTGGGGACTACTCTATTATAAAAGTCATATGTGCTTACTCTAGAAAATTTAGAAAAGACAGGCAAGTGTAAAGAACGCTGTACAAATCTGTCTTCTAAAAGTAAATCTCAGCAGCTTCCTGAATTTCCCCATACACTTTTTCCTTTGTAAAATTCTGATGAAGCATCTAAGGCATTTTAAGTTATAAAGAGAAATGAGACTTCAAAGTGAATCTTGGCTGGTGTTTTTGCAGCTCCCAACCATGCCTCATGCCCTTCCCTTGAGTGCTTGCCCACCTGGACACACAGTGCATGCGTGTGCCACATGGCTTCTGCCACACCACATGGCGTGTGCACAGTGTCACCTGCTGCCCTGTGGCACGGGCTTGGCTGGGGGAATGTCTGTTACTGCAGCCGTCAGATAGAAAATGGTTTAACATTCCCCTATGTGTGCCACCTCCCCCATTGTAAATTGTTGCATTATGATCAGCATACTTGAACCCAAATTTGTGTTGAAATGTTTTGTTTTGTTTTGAGACAAGTTTCACTCTTGTTTCCCAGGCTGGAGTGCAATGTCACGATCTTGGCTCACTGCAACCTCCGCCTCCCGAGTTCAAGCGATTCTCCTGTCGCAGCCTCCCGAGTAGCTGGGATTGCAAGTGTCCATCACCATGCCCAACTATTTTAAGTAGAGATGGAGTTTCGCCGTGTTGGCCAGGCTGGTCCTGAACTCCTGGCCTCAGATGATCCGCCCGCCTTGGCCTCCCAGAGCGCTAGTATTATAGGTGTGAGCCACTGCACCCAGCCGTGTTGAAATGTTTGATAATTTCCTTAGTTTAGATTCCTTTCGTTGTAATTACTGAGTCAAAGAGGATGAAGCTTTAGAAGGCTGAAAGGTTGTTCACTTGGGATTAAAGGCATGAGCCACTCAGGCCCTGCTTAACAGTTGCCAGTAAGAGTGGGCATGATGAGCATATTTATGTCTTGCCTGGCTGTAGTGTGTGTGTGAATGGAGCAGTCTTATCTTCAAGCCGCTTTTCGGTTGGGCACTTAAACAGTTGAATCATCTTCAGTTGTGTTTCAGTTACTATTGACTAAACAAAGGCAGAGGGGAGAGGAAAAAAGGAAAGTAGGAAGAAATAAGAATCTCTCCATAGAAAAGTAGGTTGGGCGTGGTAGTCCATGCCTATAATCCAGCGCTTTAGGAGGCTGAGGTGGGAACGTGGCTTAAGCCTGGGAGTTTGAGACCAGCCTGGGAAACATAGGGAGACCTGGTTTTTAAAAGAGAGAAAAAAAGGGAGGGGGAACAGTCGGGCATGGTGAAGGTCCGCAAGTATGATAGTATCGTTTGTTTTCTGGGGTCACCCCGTGCCCTGGGTTGGTTGTCCACACTGGTCACAGCCTTGAGCAGTTCTGGAATCGTAGCAGTCTCTCCATTGGTTGGCTGCTTGCCTTCCCTCTTTGTTACAGTTTTTTTCTTTTTAAGCCCTGGAGGGTGGGAGAGAAATCGAATCTTATTTGATGCTGATTCCTTGTAGCTGCCTGCCTTTCCTTGTGATTTTTGCCAGGCAGGTGACTGGCCTTTGCATTGTTCTGTGTGGTTCATCTGCAGTGCCCTAACCCGCTTTGCTCTTGCACAGGCCAGTGGAGAGCTCCTCACCAGATCCTGCCGCTGTCCCTTCAGAAACCGACTAGTCTCCCTGATTCTGATTTCCTAAGCCTCATGCCCCCTCTCCTCCTCTGCCTTTCTTTGGGAGTTATTTTTTCACTTCTCCTTTGTGGAAGTGGTTTGTTTGAATGTATATACGTGTGTGTGTGTGTGTGTGTGTGTGTGTGTGTGTGTGTGTGTAAATGTTGCTATATATATATATTTTTTTATTAGTCCTCTTAATTTTCCCTCCATTGATGGTCTTACCATTACAATGAAAAAATAGAAACAGCTACCATTTAGCCAGCCTTGCCTGTAAACCTGGCTCTGTTCTGAGTGATAGAGATTAACCATGAACTCAGAGAGCGTGTCATTTCTCGTGTACAGATAAGGAAACTAGAGCATGGAGACTGAGTAGCTTCCGCAAATTGCCCAGCACTATAGGCAGAGATGGGATTTGAACCCAGGCTGAGTGCAGAATTGGTCTTGTAAACTGTCTATAAATTACTCAACCAAGCTCATCCTCCATGTTTTTCTTTTATAAATAGGGATGAGGTAGATGTCTCGGCACATATTGATGCATCCATCCAGGTATTTTCCTTAAGTAGAACAAATTCCTCAAAACAGAATTACTGAGTCAGGGAATGTGCCTTTTATTTTTTTTGATACTATCAAATTATCCTTCATAAATCTGTTGACAGCATAAGAGTGTACCCAGTACCCCAAAATCCTGGCTGGGACTACCTATTTTTGTACATTTTGCCTCAAAGGCATTTCATTTTGGTGTTTGTGTGTGTTACCTGTGAGCATGAATGTCTTGTTGCTGCTGTTGGCTGTTGGATATTGTCTGTGTCTGCGTTCACGTTTGCATCCTTTTCCCGGTGTGCTCACCTCTCTTCCAGGTCTGTAGTGTGCTTTGTAAGTGAAGGATGAGCTTTCTATCCTTGTAGAGATTTGTCCTTTCCTCCCACCCACCTCCTAGGAGAAAAGCTGTGGGGTCACCACTTTTACTGCACAGCACAGATTATAAACCCTGGCTTCCCCCGGTAGGGTGGGGGCTTTGACTGAATGGAAAAGGAGAGGAGGGGATGGGCTGCCGGTGCCCCCACCTTCCCCTAGTCACCTTCCCTCCTTCCAGTAAGCAAGGGCTGGGAGCAGCTGAGAGAAGCTAGGGTTCCTTAGGAGAGCTTGACCCCTGTTGGTGGGGAGGTGTTGGAGGAGGACATGCCTCTACTCGTGAACTGAACAAATAATTCCCTTCAGTCCATCATTTGTTTCTTTAACGTCATCCTGATCGTTTTTGCGATGGAGAAGTTTTACTTGATGTATGGTCCTATCTGTTGAGTTTTTCCAAAATAGCTTCTAGTAAGTATTGTGTGCTCCAAGCATTCTGTCCCTGTTATTTTTTGATTTTAACTAGTGCTTACTCTGAGTTTCTGCTTTTAGTCTTTTGTGTTAGAGTTCCACTTTGAACCCAACGACTACTTTACCAACTCAGTCCTGACAAAAACCTACAAGATGAAATCAGAACCAGATAAGGCTGATCCCTTTTCCTTTGAGGGTCCTGAGATCGTGGACTGTGATGGGTAAGAAAATGTCATTCTACCTTGTTTTTCTGCAACAAAATCATGAGATAATTATGTAACTTTATGGGTAAGATAGAAGTAAGGAATTAAGTGCAGTCTTGAATCTTCTTGGAAGCCTGGTAGACAAATACTTTACTTGTCTTTCAGTTTGGGATTACTTGTAGTGCAGAGCTTGGAGTTGACGGCTGAGCCTGGAAATGAGTCAGATGGTTGCAGATGCAGGCGTTTGGGACAGTGCCCGCGGTTTCTTCATTTTAATGAAAGTATTAGGTTGTCTAGACGCCATGAATTGAAGTTCTTAAAACTGAACTGATGGATTACCTTTAGCAAATAAATACTTGTTGAATGAATGAGCCTCATTCCAGGGCTGTATTGATCAGTTAGTTGCTTAGGAAATAGGTGGGGGCAGCGTAGCTCTTGTTTGACTCATACTGAGTTCAGTCTTTGTAGATCACTACAGAGAGAAATTGGTTTAGAATTAATTTCTGAAGGTTGGTTTGATTGAGAAATGGTTTTGGTCTTGACTTGAAACAATTATCCTTCTTTACCAGAACCAAGTACTAATTGTTAATTCAGGACTTTATTAAAAGTCCTTCTGGAGTAATTGAGAAAGATTATTTTTCAGGGCCAGGCCATCATGTGAGAAAAAGGCCTGGTCTTTCCAAGCATGTTCCTAAGCAGGCAGTACTCAGGTGCTGCCAGGCATTTCCTGGGTCCACGGTTATAGAGCATTAGAGAGCATGCGATGCTCAGCCCTCAGCTGGCATACCCAGGGCTACTGTGGTCCTCACTGGCCTTCAGGATTCCCAGTGGCCACCTGTTTCCGTTCTTGAGGTTATCCCGCTCACTTGGCTGCCTTGAACAGCAGCAACTCCTGCTTCCTTGGGAAATCGCGGACAAGCGCTTGTGTATCATGCAGACTTGACAGGGCTTTGCCACAGAATACACATTTCAGAGTCCTGATGAAATGTCTTGGGAAAATGATACCATTGTTCCAGATGTCTGAAGTTTGAGGCAGTGGTCACACCCAGGTTGCAAGAGGACCAGGCCATTTCTCTTTTGCCAACCTCCGAGTGAACTTTATGGGCCCCTGCATTTGGTTTGCAGATTGGTTTTATGTAGTGTTCCAGGTTTGGCATAGAGCTGTGGTTTGCTTCCCGCCTGCTTTTGTAATGGATTTTTCTCATGGAGCGTGTGCTCATGACAGCTGTCTTGTCCTGGTAGGTGTACTATTGACTGGAAGAAAGGAAAGAATGTTACTGTCAAAACCATCAAGAAAAAGCAGAAGCATAAGGGTCGAGGCACTGTTAGAACAATTACGAAGCAAGTACCCAACGAGTCATTTTTCAACTTCTTCAATCCACTGAAAGGCAAGTCTGATGGGTTGTTAATATACATTTTGTACTTTTGTACTTGTATAAAATAATTTTGGTCACCTGGTAGACTCCTAACACTCGGAGACTTTAGTCCTGTTCTTTCAGGCAATTTTGGTCAGTAGGGGCACATTTGCTGTGTCGCAGGCTGTTCTGTTGGTGCGCTGGCAAGTGTGTGCCGGGGTCAGAGGCAGTAAGGACAGTAAGGGTAGGAGTGTCGTCCTCTGCAGGAGAGGGAGGAGCTTTACTTGCTTGGCTACAGCCCAGGCAAAAACTTGCAGGTTTGTTTTAAGAAAACAAAGGAATGTTTCCTCACCTGGACATCTGGAACACCCTTCTCCACCAGCTGGCATTTCTGCCCCTCTGTTGTGTCCCCAGGGACTGCTCCCAGCCTTGGTGGAGGGCTGCTGGGTTTGCTCTCCAGGTACCCGTTACTGCTGTACCCTGGTCTAGTTATGCAGTTTTTGGATTATCTGCTCAGTTCCCCTTTTCTCGTAATTTTGTCCATGCATCATTTGAAAGAAGTTTTTGGAATTCATGTGTTGTGATAAACAGAAGTTGTTGAGATTTTCATTTTTGAAAAACATCGGCAGAATCACAGCTTGGAAGCTCTTTTTTTTTTATTTTTTATTTTTATTTTCCTAAGTGGTAAAATAAAGATGAAACCGTTAAGCTAGTAAAAGTTGACCAATTGATTTTAAGAGTAAATTTCTTGGGATTTTTCATATGGTTTTCTTAATCGTGAGAGAATGTGGAAGTCAAGCTGCTTGTTAGTGTTAAAGTACTCATATTCTCTTCAGTTCCCATGAACAAAAACAAGTGAAGAGATGTCAGCCCCTGCTGTAGATAATCATTGAGCGTTTGCTTGTATGTGGGGCCTCAAAACGGCTCTCTTTTCCAATCTGAATGTTTGATTTTTTTGGTTTTGTCGGTAAGCTTAGCACCTTTATTTATCAAGCTACCTTTCAGAGTTTAGTCTGCCATTTTAATTGTGGTGCCTATTTTCTGCAATTAGACCTTGAACCTAGAAGGTGCAAATATATATGGTTTGGGGAATAAGAGCAGTCATAAGTTTAGATATTACATTTCCATTTTTGGGAAGATTCCTTTTAGACACTTGGGTTGGGCGTTCTGGAGATGATCTGTGAATCCACCATGAAGCCAGGGGGCTTTAATTTCTGGAATCACTGACTTTGTATAGGTACTTTTCTTAAAACTGATTTAAAAATAGTTTTTAGAATAGAAAGAGTTGATAGTGGACTCAAGGGAATTTTTAAGTGTTGTTTTTTTTTTTTAGGTTCTAAAACTTTCATGGTATGATGGTTGCACAACTCTAAAATTAATGCACTAAAAGTCATAAAGTTGTACATTTAAAGTATATGCCTTTTATGGTATGTAAATCTCATCAGTAAAGCCACTTTCAAACTAATCAAACACATAACTTAATATCAAATATGATAAATGCTATGAAAAACATTGAGGATGGCTGGGGGTAGGTAATAGGGTAGCGAGGGAACAAACAAAATGGACTCCGTGGTGTGAAGTGAAGGACACGTTAGTGAGTCCAGCGCTGTCTCAGTCCTTCAGGCTGCAAAGCCAGTCCAGAAGTCTTGAGTGCTGAGAATCCTCGTGCTGATTCATGGCGCGGGCCAGAGACCCCTGGGGAGCATGCTGCTCCAGCGTTAAGACACCTTGCCTTGCTCCAAACTCATGTCTTAAACCTCTGGGTGGGGCTTGGGAACCCTGCCTTGCTCATGGGTGGTGTTTATGCACCCAACACTTGTGTCTCAGCAGCGAGCAGAAAGTGCTGCCACGGTTGTGGTGGCTAAATGGAAAGAGACACTCAGAAGATCCCAGTGGAGATTGAACAGGCAGGTATGAGACTAAGCAAGAGTAAACACTCAGCTCCTGATGAAGGGCCGCGTCTTGTAGGAAATGTTTCTAGAATCAGGGGTTTGGGTCGTATACCACTTGAACGTTGCACAGCTTCATTGTGGTTAGAACCTGCCTGTCTTGCTGTGCTTAGCCCATCCAAGCATCGACTTTCAGTGAGGAGCTGTGCCACTCTCCAGGGGGCACTGGTGGGCGTTTCAGCAGCCTCCGAACGAAGTGGAATTTCCACCTCCCTGAGATGCAGTGCCCTAGTGACACTCATAGCTTGTAAGGCATAAGGACTTTCTCTTCTGCGCCATCATGTATAGTTCTGCAGGGCATGAGTTAAATTGCCCCATAAAGCACAAGTAAACTGAATGGCCACAGTCTGGGGCTGTTTGCCTTTCCTCATGTTAAAACATTAACCCTCTCAAATGGTTTTCTCAAGCTTGAGTGCCAGTCCATGGCACATGATGGAGGAGGAGAAGGGAGGGGGGCTAGGGGCCCTGGGACCAGCTTCAGAAGTGGTGGATGGAGCTTGCAAAGATGTCTGTAAGGAGATGCAAGGCTTTGGGAATTTCTAGTTTAAACCTCAAGGTAAGAAATGTTATATTTTGTCTACCAGCAAAGCTGCCTTCTGTGTGGGCTTTAAAATTCTGAGGAGTTGTCACTGTAACTTGAATATGTTTTGTCTTTTCTTTTTCTAGCATCTGGGGATGGAGAATCACTGGTAAGATTTATGTTGTTAATAGTCTCATTTTTGTATTAAAGACTTTCCTGAGTGAATGTCTACTTGTTTAAAAAAGTCCAGTCCTGGCTGAGTATGGAATCAGTATGCCTGTAATTTTAATGCTTTGGGAGGCTGAGGTGGGAGGATTGCATGAGTCCAGGAATTTGAGACCAGCCTGGGCAACATACCAAAACACCGCCATCTTTACGAAAAATTAGCTGGCCGAATTCGGTGGCTCATGCCTGTAATCTCAGCACTTTTGGGAGGCCGAGGCGGATGGATCACCTGAGGTCAGGAGTTTGAGACCAGTCTGGCCAACGTGGTGAAACCCTGCCTCTACCTAAAATGCAAAAAAAAAAAAAAAAAAGCTGGGCATGGTGGTGAGTCCCTGTAGTCCCAGCTACTTGGGAGACTAAGGCAGGAGAATCTCTTGAACCCAGGAGGAGGAGGTTGCAGTGAGCTGATAATCACACCGCCACTCTCCATTGGGTGACAGCAGGACCCCTGTCTCAAAAGATAAAAAAATTAATTAGCTAGGCATGGTGATGCACTGTGTAGTTCCAGGGTCACTGGGGCCCAGGAGCTTGATGCTGTAGTGAGCTGTGATTGCATCACTACACTCCATCCTGTGTGATAGAGTGAGACCCTGTCTCTTAAAAATAACAAATCCCTTTCTGTTTCTAGAAACGCTGGGATTAATTTGAAATCATTACACATCTGAGTAAAAGTATGTGTTTCGTATGTTGGTAGCAGCAGCAAAAGTGTGGTCCTGTAGTGAGGCTCTGGCGCTCCCTCCTCTGGCGGAGACCGTTGGACAAGCAGAGGAGCCGTGGCCCTCGCTTCCTACTTTCTCTGCTAGTTTTGCTTCAAAGTTGGTTTTTTGTTTTCGTTTGCTTGTTTTGTTTTGTTTTGTTTTGTTTTGTTTTGTTTTGTTTTGTTTTGGAGATGGGGAGTCTTGCTCTGTCACTCACGCTGGAGTGCGGGGTGGCACTATCTCGGTTCACTACAACCTCCGCCTCCTGGTTTCAAGCAATTCTCCTGCCTCAGCCTCCCAAGTAGCTGGGATTACAGCCATGTGCCACCATGCCTGGCTCATTTTCTGTGTTTTTAGTAGAGATGGCGTTTCACCGTGTTGGCCAGGCTAGTCTTGAGCTCCTTGCCTCAGGTGATCCGCCCACCTTGGTCTCCCAAAGTGCTGGAATTACAGGCGTGAGCCACTGTAACTGCCCTTAAAGTCGTTTTAAAGGGACTTTGAGTGTCTAGTGACTGTCCCCTAGCAGTGCAGGAATTTGGTGTTTTAAGTCAAGTAAATCAAAAGTGAGGGGCTGAGGTTTGGCTGAGGGTCGTGAAGCAAATGTTTTTAATTAGTTAACATGTAGGTTTTTCCTCCTTAGGATGAAGATTCTGAGTTCACATTGGCCTCTGATTTTGAAATTGGACACTTTTTCCGTGAGCGGATAGTCCCACGGGCTGTGCTGTACTTCACTGGGGAGGCCATAGAGGATGATGACAATGTATGAGGCTGGGGAAGCGGGGAGCCCCCACCTGGGTGTTTACCTCTGTTGCTGCAGAGTGGCCCTGAATTGTGGCTTGGGAAATCCCAGTACCTAATCTTTTTATTACATCATCAGCCAGATATGTAGTCCCAGCTGCTCTCCTTGTGGGGGACATATACTTGGAAGAGGAGAAGTCTGAGGAACACAGCAGGGAAAGTGAGGCAGACTCAGAGTTGATTGCCAGTGACTCACAGTGTTCTCTAAAAACCTAAGCTTCAGGGAACTTCTAAACATGAGGATAATTTCTTTCATGGAGGTCTTGCCCCTGCAAACATTTACCTGCTGACAGTGGACTCATGCTACCCTATGGCTCATCAACCCCAAAGAAATAGAAATTCCTGAACTTTATCTGATTAGGTAAAAAGGAAAAAAAAAAAAAAAAAGAAAACCCATGTTCTCCAAGAAAACAACAAGATTGCATGTCACTTTCCTTTCTGGGCTTGAGGGAAGCAGCTTTTCCATGGTCAGAACTTGTGGGCGCACAGCCCAAGCACCGCCTAGAAGCCCCTCGCCAAGGCTCGGGCAGCTTGGAGCCATCTTGATCTGTGGAAAGTAAAATTTTGTTGTATAGAATGTCACTAGAGGTATGTTCTGATGATGATCTCTTCCTTGTAGAGCTCTTGGGTTTGTGGCTATGCTGGGTTTCCTTTCTTAGAAGGCCTGGTCTGTGGGGCCTTCAGACAGGGCAGCAAGAGCTTCGGCAGGTTCAGGGGCCTTAGCCCCCTGTGGCAGTAAACGCCAGCATCTCCTCACACTTCTCCCATTGTATTGAGTTCTACCCGTGGGGAGAATAGACCAGTGTGAAACTTGTAAAACACAACTTGCTTGTTCATCCCTAGGCTGGGAGGTGATTGTAGGTCAGACAACATGGACACCCAAGCAGCTGCCACGACTTACTTTTATGGATTCTAGGCTGGCACTTTCTCCGGTAGAACCTTCTCTTGATGGAACTGTCCTCTGGCTCTTTGGTCCAGTGCAGTAGGACTGACTGTGTGTGCCACTTGAGTACTTGAAATATGGCCGCTGTGACTGAGGAACAGAACATTCCATTTAAATTAAGTTGAAATAGTGAGCCAAGGGCTAGTGGCCACACATTGGAAAGCTTATCTCATACATTTTTGATCATAGACCGTCAATTTAAAAGACTTGAATATGCGTGTGTGCTCTTTGCTTGCTTCTGTGCAGTGTCTGTGCTGCTGGTGAGCACCGTGGCTTGTGAACGTATACGTTTGTGTTGGTGATACGTTCAGCACAGGCACTGCCGACGAGCAGTGGTAGAGAGGCTAGAGTGTCAGCTCGGACTAGACAGCTTCGACCTGCATCCCCATTCTCCCTCTTAGTAGCTCCACCACCTCTTGGAGCTTCACTTTCCTCAGCTGTAAGTAGAGCTCATGGGAAAGACTGGTTACTGGGTAAGCCCTTCACATAGCGCCTGGCACGGAGCAGTGACTCAGTAAGTGTTGGCGTAAAAAGTCCTTGATGATGTTACACTCTAGACTGCACCCCAACACTAGAAAGTTGTTGAAGGAGGAAGTGAGTGTGGGAGCCCTGGTCCTGTCTCGGCACACGACAGCTTCTGCTCTGCCCAGGCAGGAGATGCATCTGAAGGAGCCCCTGGGCACAGCACCTCAAGGGTGAATCGCTGAACTCAGAGCCTCAGGATAGGCACTGGAGCCCGACCTGAACCAGAAGACTGCTAAATCTTTCCCTGCCTGAGGCCAGTTAGGATCCTTAGAGTGAAGGTACAGCGCTGTGGTCAGATCTCATCCCGGCTGCCACGTGGCGCAGGCTGTGTGAACTCTTGTTTTAGGCTGGGTCACGCCACCGCAGTAGGATCCTTCTAAGTTCCACTGAAGTTGGCTCTGAGGAGTACGTGGTATGGGCTCAACAAAAGGGAGATGTGGAGAAATGAAATTGCGTTTTCCTGTACTGCCCTGGTGATGCAGCCGGTAGTAATAAGATGGTTTTGCTTTTGGTGTAAGTCTCATGTTTGAAACTTGATTTTCAGTCCAGTGATGTCTTTGGATGTAGGAGAAACTGATTCAAGACAATTGACTAATGCTGGAGGCTTGCCTTTGAGTACCTTGGTTTTTACTTATTTTAAAAAGCGCCCAAGTTTTAATAGATTTCTACTAAGATTTCTTTTAATCTTGTGTGAGATGTAAAATGATACCCAAATTCCAGTATCCAGTAACATTATGCTCCTGGTTAGATAGCAGATTGATGAGTTTACAAAAATCTTTTCCTGTGCCTGCCCTTCAGTGTGAGAACAACCAGGGCAGAGCTGTGGTGCCAGGTTCCCAGCTGTGCCCAGGGCACACCCTGGCTGACCAGCTTCCTATCCTGTCCCTTGTTTTGTGTGACTTTCAGTGTCCTGGCATGCTTTTAAAATGCAGTGCTCACAAGCGAATGGTTCCTCAGCCAGGCGAGGCCCGGCAGGCAGCATGGCTGGACTTGCTGCTCTTAGGCTGGATCAGTGAGCCACTCGATGGGGCCGGTGTCTCTGGCAGGTCGGTCTCATGTTTTGTAAACCTAAAAATGTTTTTCTCTGTTTTTCCAGTTTGAAGAAGGTGAAGAAGGAGAAGAGGAGGTAAGAAGCAGGTTTATGCGGCTTTGCTTACTTCCGTGATGTCGTTTCTTTGGCTTTCTCTGCTTGAAGGTTGTGACTCAGGGCTGTGTTACAGCCGGTTTTTGTGAACCTGCCTTTGACTCTAGCAGTGTTGTTGCAACATATTTGCTAAGCAGAAATGCATAGCAAATGCTGGGACAGTTTCTAGAATTTGACCCTACAGAAAATGTATCTTAGAAAATAATCATTTAACAAACAAAATCTACGTTTTCAGAAATGTGTTTCTTTTAGGGTTATCTGTGAGAACAAAAAGATACCTAGAAATAATTGTAAGCGTCCAGAGGAAGTGGTGAGTCGCTTGTAGGTAGCCGTAATTTCCTTCTAAGGCAGTGCATTGCTCTCCTGTGCTTGTGGATAGTGAATGCCACAAGAATTTCAGTGTCTTTCCAGCTAATTCTTACTTTTTAATACAGGAGTTAGAAGGTGATGAGGAGGGAGAAGATGAGGAAGATGCGGACATTAACCCCAAGGTTGGTAACTTTGGGGCCACCCAGACCTCCTCATTATGCTGCAGTTAGAGTTTTTAAAATGTTCCCCACTTTGAGGCAGTAGTGTTAACAGTATTCATTATTCCTTAATTAGAAAGTTTAAAATGTGTCAGAAAAATACTGAAATGATTATTCAGATACTTAGTGTAAAATTGAGTGTCAAGTGTACATATTCGGTAAAAGCTTTTCCAGCTGTCTCAAGCTGTGTCTTATTTACACAGACTCTTTCAGTAGAGCAACTTTTATTTTCCAGATGTTTCATTCTTTTAAGGTAAGGTGATGATTTAGCTGACAACATAAATAAACTTTTCTTTGTGCCTGTTTGGAAATGGTGCAGAGAAGGGATCTTGGGGCTCTTTTTGTTCAGAAACAGAATAATGGGATTGTGACTGTGGGCGTCATTGTACGGTCGCACCTGGACCGCGCATGCCCAGGTGGTGTGTCTAGGTAGCTCATCTGTCTCAGATAACTTAAGACTAATTTGGAAGGTTTACTGAAGAAAACTGAGTTTAAAATGAGTGGGCAAGCCCATTAATTTTAACTGCAAATTTAGATTTTTTTTTTTTTTTTTTTGAGGCGGAGTTTCGCTCTTGTTACCCAGGCTGGAGTGCAATGGCGCGATCTCGGCTCACCGCAACCTCCGCCTCCTGGGCTCAGGCAATTCTCCTGCCTCAGCCTCCTGAGTAGCTGAGGCACGCACCACCATGCCCAGCTAATTTTTTGTATTTTTAGTAGAGACGGGGTTTCACCATGTTGACCAGGATGGTCTCGATCTCTTGACCTTGTGATCTACCCGCCTCAGCCTCCCAAAGTACTGGGATTACAGGCTTGAGCCACTGCGCCCGGCAAATTTAGATCTTTATTTGTGGTCTCAGAGTAACTTAAATCAGGGTGCTCTGACCATGTGACATATCTTAGAGTCAGAACTGCTTTAATGTTATCCTGAAGCTGTCATAAGAGTTTACTCTTGTAAAACATGAAATGTGTAGTTCACCTGCCTCTTTAAGTATATTATGGGCTGTCGGAATACTAACGTTACCTGGTGTTTTTGTAATGTGTCTGTCCGACTAGATGTTTTCTGCTTGTTTTTACCTTTGTTTTTTGGAGTGTGCACTAAAAGCTGTTGGCATGATAACGTGGTTCTGTCTTCAATTGGTTAAAACCCGGTATTTCCATGAATGCATGTTCACAGTACTGGTTCCTTGAGGGAAGGGATGGGAGAAGAGCTTTTAAAACTTTAAAAAAAGTGTCATAAATGCCCTTCTGGGAATATGCTCATGGAAATGTTCATCTTCTAAAGGTTGGCCTGTTGATGTGAGAGGACTCTGTGCTGAAAGTGTGCCTGTGCTCAGCACCATGGTGGTGGGTGGCGAGGGCGGCAGAGACCAAGGCCTGGATCTGCCTTGCGTGGATCGCAGTGTGGGGGCAGGTAAAATGAGGGCTATCAGCCAGCCAGCGAGCAGCTCTGGGTGAATAAATGCTGCCCATCACTGCTTCGCAGGTGTCTGCTGGCCCCAAGGGCTGCGTGTGCTTCCTGGGCCATGTTTCAAGGTTGCAGCCGTAAAGCAAGGACTGGGGACAGTTGGCAGGGCCATCCTCAGACGCCGCGCACAGCCGCCTCTGTCCTTGCTGCTTGTCCTCGTCTTTCCCTCCCCCGTATTCTGTGCCTCGGCTTCTCTTTTCCTGCCCTCTGTTTGTTCTGTCACCTTGGACAACCTTCAGTCTCCTTTCACGTCCCAGGTTTCTATAGGAGCATTCTCACCAGCCATTGTAGAGACCACACCGTGGTGGATGACACATAATAACACCCAGGAGGCCTTTGACATATTGTGTTGGTTGGGGGAGAAAGGACTAAAAACTTGTTGAGGCTAATGGTGTGAAGTTCAGAGACTGCCAGGCATGTGTGGCCTGGTAAGGCCCCGCCTGCTGTCCCTGTCACATGCACCTCTCCAGAGAGATTGGCGGTGTTAGAGGCTACACAGGCAAACGAAAACAAGGCAGGAAGGGAGATTTCTGTATCAAGCATCTGATAGAAGCGAGAGTCATGCTTCTGCGTGTTTCTGAAGGTGTGACCTGGTGTGGATGCTGCTCACCCCGAGTGCGGTAGCTCACAGCCCGTCTGTATCATGAGAAATTGTGGCCATTTCCTCCTGTATAATTTTGTGCATTTCATTTTCTTTCATGCTGACAGTTCCTTTCAATTTTTTTCCCCATTTAGGTGTAATTTTTGTCTGTTAATCATTCATACGTTTCTAGGTAAGGTGGAATTCCATTCATACCTAACTTCCAAACTTGTGTCCTATACTTTATACAATGCATTGTTTTGACTTTGAATAAAGAGGAAGCTGCTGTCCAGGCAGACTTACTGTGGCTTAGGTCTGACATGGGGCTTTCGAAAGCACAGTGTTTTCTACAGGTGTGTGTTACATGTACTTTTAAAATCAACCAAACCGAGATTTGGTCCCCGCTTTCTGAGCCCAGTGTTTCTTGCTAAGTAACAAAGATGTAACTTGGGTGGTATTTTCATTGCGGATGGTACTGTTTTCCAGCAAGAGGGCCCTGGATGGTCAGCAGCCTGCAGGGTGACATACACAGACCACCATAAGCAAACAGTCTCTGCAGAGAGCATAACACGGTTGGCATCCGAGCTGTGCTCAGAACACCCCCTCTGGCAGTTGAAATAGGCCCACTGTCATTACCAACACGTGTCTGTTGAATATTTATACTTTTTGAATTCATGTCTTGTGCAGACCAGTAGGTACACAAAGGGGTGACTGAGCTTTTACTGTGCCAGCATTTTTTACCTAAAACATGAACTGGCGTCTGTTTGGATGTCCGCAGTAGAAGGTACTGTTGTGAGGTTGGTGGAGAGTGCTGTAACTGAATGAGGCCAGAACCAGTCGTAGATGAAAGTGAGCGTCAGTGAGCCTGGGAACCGCTCCCACCCCCACTCTCTTCAGTTCCTGTAGCTCTGCCCTGTCCTGGAATGGCTGACAGCAGGCCCATACGTGGACAGAGGCTCTTGCCTGTGACAAGACCTGTTCTCTCGTGGCACCCTTGGGAGGTAGTGGGAGAAAGCAGAGAGGTGGGAACAAGAGGTGCCTGAGAAACCTCAGCCGTGGCGGGGCCTCTGCATGCTGGGGTTAGTAGGCACTCCGTTGTTAAAGGTCTTGTCACAAAGCGGCAGCACAATGCTGGCAGTCCCCTAGACCAGATGTCCTTGAGGTCTGAGCACTACCGCCCTCTGCCCTTCCCCATGTAGGCCGCTTCCATGGGAAAGTGATGAGAGGACGTGGGGCAGGTGCAGCTCATGGAGCGATTTTGTTTTCCAGGGCCAGGGTTGAGAATTTGCATGTTTAAAATTGTGTTGAGCTGCCATGAGTCCTGTTGTCCCCGAATGTCTGAAGAGCTTAGCCACTCTTACGTCACCGGTACCCCCCCCCACTCCCCCCATGCCACCAGCTATTGTGAAGAGAATCCTCGCTGCCTGCCACCTCTCTGTTTCAGCATGCGTCCTTGGAAGAGAAGGGCAGGGTGTGACAGCAGCAGCCCCCAGGACTGTGGCACTGAGGCCTCTCCAGCTGTAGCGCTCTGGGCACTGAGGGCTGCTGCTCCTGCGGCGCAGCTGTCATGGGCCAGTGTGTTCAGAGGCATGTCTTTGTGCCTTTCTCAGGTCTGTGAAAAACCCACCTTTTAAACGGTCCCATGAGAGACAAGATTTTTCCTATTAGTTGGTGCCTTTTAAAATGCCAACTCTCCCTCCCTTGATAATCAGGTCAGCATTTATTAATGACCAAACTGTCCTTAAATTCTTGTGACGTGAAATAGAGCATGTGTCAGTCAATTTGCAGTCATCCTTTGACGTGTGATCACAAGTGAAAAAGCAATTGGTGTCTCATTTATAAAAGTCACCTCTGAAACTCCTGTCACTCACTTGCAGACGCTCCATCATGTTGTGTGAGCACCAAAGCGTGGCAGGGGAGGGCCGTGTGCTGTCCTTCCTCGGGTACAGGGGAAGCAGCTCTTCCCACAGCCAGGTGCCTGGCCTGCTCCCCTCCAGCAAGGCACTGGGTCAGAACACCAGTCCTGAGGGTCTCTGGGTTCTGTGCAGACTCTGTTCTCTCCAGCAGTCTTCATCACCCAGGATATTGGGTTTTGTTTTTTTGTTTTTCTTTTTCTTTTGAGACACTGTCTTGCTCTGTTGCCCAGGCTGGAGTGCAGTGGTGCCATCTTGGCTCACTGCAACCTCCGCCTCCCAGGTTCAAGCAGTTCTCCTGCCTCAGCTTCCCCGAGTAGCTGGGAGTACAGGCGTGCACCACCACACCCAGCTACTTTTTGTAGTTTTAGTAGAGATGGGGTTTCACCATGTTGGTCAGGCTGGTTTCGAACCCCTGACCTCGTGATCCACCCACTTTGGCCTCCCGAAGTGCTGAGATTACAGGGATGAGCCACCATTCCTGGCTATTGGTTTTATTTAGGACAAATAGAAACTACATTCTCATGGTTGAAAATATTTATTACAATATTTACAACTTAGGACAATTTATATTTATTTCTGGTTGAGCATTCCAAATCCGGAATCCTCCTGTGGGCATTTTCTTTGTCTTGTTGGCACTCAGAGGGTTCCAGATTTTGGAGTATCTCGGATTTGGAATTTGGGATGCTCGGTCTGTGGTAGGATAAATTATAAAATCGGGTGTATGACATGACATTGTGTTTGTATAACTTAAATGTCCATAAAGATGGAGTCTCTGTCATCCTGTGACCAGCCTCAGTCCTCCCTGGCCCTGAACAGCTTCCTTATTTGACCTCCCATTTTCTAGGCCAGTCCCACTCCTCCCCTCACCCCTCCCCTCAGTGCACCTGCCCGGGGCACCCTGCATCCCCCACGCTCTTAAAGCCAGTGGTTCAGTGTCCTTGGCCACTGCATTGGGCCACCTTCAGTCTACCCTCGAATGTCAGATTGGCAGGTCTCAGTTGGCATCTTTTTGGCTAGCGTTTTCCGTGAGCCTCCTCTTCTCGGCCAGGCTCTTGGGCAGCCTGCGGGGTGGCTGAGATTGGGAGCTTAGACCAGGGTTCAGGGTTATTGACAGGTTTTATGCATCCCTGATACATTTCTTTTGTCATCCCTTAAATGTGATTTCCCAAAAAATGAACTGTTGCCTCAGCTTACAGCATGGAAGATGACAGTTAGTGAACCCAGGGGTCTTTTTTGCCCCATACCCTGAATGTTCTTAGGTTCTGTAGGCATACTGGATTAAATCTAGAGCAGTTCGTAATCTCAGCCAGAAATCATGGGTTACAGATTCCTAAAGTTACTAGCTCAGAAGCATTGGCAAGATCGTGATGTCTTTCATAGGCTGTTGTTGGCCTCCACACAAATCCATGGAGTTGCTGGATGTGGTCTAAGGGGTGTGAGATCTGTGTTAGGTAATATTGGAGTTAATCCATTCCTCTGGAAGGATCCATCCTTCCCGGATGCCATCGCGGGAAGGATAGCATTCCCCCGTCGGTGAGACTGTTGGGAGGGTGAGTGACAGGTGCAGCTCTTGGGAGGGGCAGCTCAGCATTTGTTGGTGCCCCGGAGGATGGCTCTGCCAGGGCACTCCCCACTAGTCCAGAGCAGGAACCCACTAGAGGAGATATTTGCTTCCTGTGAGCGCCAAGGGTCCAGCCTACCCAGAGACACGTGCACCTGAGAGATGAGGACTGTTGACACCAGGAGGGGTGGCCTCGAGGTGGCCTTTCTGGCTGAGCTGCTCTGTGTGGGCGGGGCGGCTGCTTCCCAGCCCTTTTATGGGCAGTCCCCTGAAGCTCCACCACCCCAAGGGGCCTCAGAACCCTCCTGCTGAACACACCACGAATTTGAGTGCCTCACGGGCATATCTTTAGGCAGCCCTGCTTTGACTTGGCAGGGATACAGTTAGCTTTGTTCTTGTCCCTGTTTTATTTAAAAGTATATTTGCAGTAACCATTTGTTTGAATGAGGAAGAACTCATTCAGTCTTGGTTTTCTTTGTTGATTGGAGCTCATTGGTGAGCGGCGCTGGCTTTGCTCTCTACAAGCCTTGTCTTCTCTTTCATTGACAGAAGGAACCCAGCCAGCCGGCGGAATGCAAGCAGCAGTAGGAAGCGGAGGCGGGCACCTGGCGGACTGTGGTGACTCCAGGCCCGTGGGCGGGGCCTCGGTCCTTGCCCAGCACCAGCCCGTCAGCGGCGCTTGCTCCATCTAACTCGTTTTCAAGTGCATGATTTTCACTTTCACTTTTCCTTTTTCCTTATTATTTTGCTTAACTTGTACAGTGGCAACTGAAATGCATTTCAGAAATAGGAGGTTTCGTCCAGCACCCTCAGCAACCTTGGTGCCTGTAGCTCTGGACTTGCCTGGGCCTTTCCCTCTGGGGGGGCCCCATAGACCACGTGGGGTGGGGTGGGGGTCACTTGGCAAAAAGGGCCGAGTCTGGTGATGCGATTCCAGGGATCTAGAACCTCTCCTACCACTCCTGCAGTTGGACTGAGTTCTTCCCTTTTATTTGAAGAAACCCACTGGCTGTTTGCAGCCGCTGAGTCTGCCGAGTTGTGTGCTAATCATCTCAGAAGGGCTGCGTAGAGTAGGGCGCGTTTTGCTTAGGTCATTGCTTCTTGATTTTCTTTTTTTAGGGGTGGGTCAGGGTTGTGGCACACTAGCTCGGGCGAGAGCTGCCGCAAGTCACCTCATATTTATTGATCCCTTCTTACCTGTGAGGACTGTGGCCTTTTGCTGTCACTTGTCCTTACCGTTTCTGAACCACCTTGGTGACCTGGGCAGGAAGATGTGCCACTTCCTAGCAGGAGTGAGGCCTGTGCAGAAGAAACGTTGCTCCCTGCCACCAGGACTGAAGACTTGGGATGCAGGCGCCGCCCTGCTGCCGCAGCCGGCATTTGGTGGTCGTCTCCGGCGGGGAGCTGGGCTGGGAAGGAAGCCCTGTGTTTGAGTTGAGCGTATGAGCGTCAAGTCCTGCTTTCTCAGGAGCCCCATTGCTCGGCCCCACCATTCATCCTGTCTGAGGGTCCTGGCTTTGGTGTGACCTGTTGGCGGCTGGCGGGTGGGGTTTCCAGTGGGTGGTGGCGCTCTCCGGCAGCCGGGGATGGCCGTGTCCGCACAGCCTAACCTTAGAACACATTTGTAACTCAATACAGTGTTTTCAATTTGTACAGAATAGTTAAGAGTATTCTATTAAAAGTTGTGAAACCTGGAGTCAACGCTGTGCTGTGATTCTTTATAGGGGAATGTGGCGGGGGAAGCGGGGTGGGGAGGTTGCGGGGGCACCCTCTGCTCCTCTCCAGCGGCTCGGATGTGCGGCACACCCTGCTGGACTTTGTTGAGCCCTGGGTTTGGTGGCTCCAGGACCGACTGTACAGTTTGTTTTCTGAGGCTTTGAAAGCCCCGTTTCAGGCAGAGGCCGCTGTAGCCACCCCTCTACACCCGAGTCGCTGCTGCATGCAGGCGGCCTCACTGTGGTCCCGTGAAAGACTTTGTTCCTGCCCCCAAGAGGGGTTCATTTCTCAGAGTTAGTGGGACGACGGCTTGTAGCTCCAGAAGGCTCCAAGAGGAGAACTTACTGATAAAGCCCGTGTCGAGTCTGCTGCTCGATGGTTTTCCCCCGTGTCTCATCCATCCCCAGTGAGAGGAGGCTCAGACACCTGCCACGCTGGCTCTTCCTGACCTGGCTGCGGGAATCCCAGCCCTGGCAGCGCCCCCTGGCGGACGGCAGGCGTCATGAGAAGGCAGCTGTGGAGCGGGCTCCCTGCTCCCCATGTGGCTGCCCCGGGCCTGCTGCCTCCAGCTCACCCATAGGCTGCCTTCTCCCTGGGAGCAGCAGGAAGGGAGGTGCAGGCTTGGACACACTTCCAACATACCCCTAAGGGCTGCCGGGCCTGATGGCCATGCTTCCTGCTCCCATTCCTCTGTCCCCATCCTACGAAGTACCTAGGGGAGCAGCACCCTGGCCTTAGTTGGTCTGCTCCGGGTCAGACCCCATAATCCAAGGGGAAGGGGCCATTTTACAGTGATCTGCCTTCAGCTGCAGAGACCAAGCCCTGCACCCTGCCCTGTGCTGGGCGTCTGGAGTGTCTTTTGAGGAAGGGTTCCCCAAGTGCAGGGAGCGCCCCTCACAACCAGCTGGGCGGTTTTAAGATGTGCACAGGTCGGGGAAGGGATAATACTGTGGCCTCTGGGGCATCTGGGTTTTCCCTTTTGAGTGAGAGGTGTGTGAGGACCCTGCATGCATCCTTCATAGAACTGGGCTCCTGTGTCCCCCGCTGAGTCTGACCTTGGGGGTGCATGGTTTATGGATGCTGCCCAGTTCCAGGGGCATCTGGGTGCGGGACCTCCATGTGCAGCCTGGAGAGTGTGGAGGTCCCAGGGTGCAGGTGGTGCCTCCAGGAGCCCAGCCTCCCCTGCCAGGGTCAGCACTTCTGGCCTGTCACCCCTGCATGGCCACAGTGTCCTGCCTGCTCCCCAGGGTCTCAGGAAGGGGAAGGTGGTTCTCCAGTGCCCACGGAGCCCAGGAACCATCCCAGGCCCAGGCCATTGTCACCTCAGGGACCTCAGTGAGAGACCAGTTGTCACAAAGTCACTGAGCAGTTGAGAGGTCCGCCATCTGGAAGGCAGCTGGGAAGGGGCTTCCGGCAGCACCCCGGCCTCGTCTGGGTAAAGGGTGGCTGCTCCCTTCCTGGTCCTGGGAGCCAAGGGGCTCCCTGTGGCTCTTCACCTCGTGGGGGAACTGAGACTCCAAACCAGTGACGCTGAGATCAGGGCAGGAGTTTGGGGAGCAGCCCAGGAGATGGCAGGAGGCAGGGCACCCCCTGCGTTGGTGGCTCAGACGCTTCTGTTGGCTGCCATCACATGGGTGCTTCTGGGCAAGGAGGGAACGAATCTGCATGGCAAATAGCCAGGCACTGAGGATGGCGGCTGGAGGGGCCGTTTCTGTGTGGTTCTAGAGCCCGAAAAGCTATGACTGCCTGGGAGGCGGGGGTGGAGGGTGACGGAGGGGGCTGACCGAAGAACCCTTTAGAGTGATGGAAGTGGTTACAAAGGTGTGTACTTTTGTCAGAACTCATTGAGTTACCTCAAAAATGGGTATATTTGGATGTATGTAAATTAGCTGTCAATGAAGCTCTGTTTTTGTTTTTTTGAGACAGAGTCTCGCTCTGTTGCCCAGGCTGGAGTACAGTGACACGATCTTGGCTCACTGCAACCTCCGCCTCCTGGGTTCAAGCAGTTCTCCTGCCTCAGCCTCCCAAGTAGCTGGAATGAACAGATGTGCGCCACCACGCCGGGCTAATGCTTGTATTTTTAGTAGAGATGGGGTTTTGCCATGTTGGCCAGGGTGATCTTGAGCTCCTGACCTCATGATCCGCCCGCCTCTGCCTCCTAAAGTCCTGAGATTACAGACATGAGCCACTGCATCCAGCCTGAAGCTCATTTTTCAAAAGCCCCCAGAACAGGGTGATTCCACTTAAACTTCTGGCTTTTCCCTTGAGTCGGGAGCTGTGTCTCCTCAGAACCTGACGGCTGCTGCTGATGGTAGGGCCACGCGAGCCCCTCGTCCATAGCTGCCTGCGTGCGGGTCTTCGGGTGGTGTGACCCCCGGTCCCCCTACTTGGCCAGTCTGCTCTCTAGGCTCATGGCTCCTGTTTTTGTGGAGCTGGGACCAAGCGGACCTCCCGTCCTGCTCCCGTCCTGCTGCCTAGCAAAGCTCTCCAGGCCCAAGGGCCACTCCTGGGACCAGAGCCTCCTTCCCTAAGGCCCAGGTCCAGGGCTTCCTGCCACCCACCCATCTTGTCCCTCCCGCAAAATGCCCCGGCCGCCCCCAACCCCATCACTGGGTGGGCTGAGTCAGCCTGGCCTGCCAGGATCCAAGCTTGCCCCTGAGGTGGGAGGCAGGGGTAGGTTGGGCAGGGGACAGCCAGGGTGGGTAGGTGGAGCCCCTGGTATTTCCAACGTCTGACCTGCCCTGGTGGGTTCTCGGTTTGCCTGGCTCTGAGTCCGGGCTCAGGGTTGGGCAACCAGTGAGCATGAGAGGAACAGTCTGGGGCAGCCGTGGGAGAAGACTGCTTCAGACTCAGCCACCCGCAGCTGCGGTGCCCTGAAGGAGCCCTGGGCCTGCACAAGGGGCTGCTGTGGGCAGAGGCCTGCGGCTCCCTTTCACCTGGCGTGGTGGACTTTGGGCTTTGCCCCGAAGCCTTCAGAACAGCCTGCCCCTGGGAGTATCCCCATGTGGACTGGAGGGTCTGAGGGACCCCAGCTCCAGCTGTGTGGGTCTTGCCCACTGGGAGACACTGGTGAGCAGTGGCCCCCAATGGCAGGGCCTCTGGGAAGGGCGCCTCCTGAGGCTGGCCCTGGCTGAGCCGACGTGCTGGATTTGGTGTGGATTTCCAGGCACCTCACACACCTGGGACCTTCCCCATGTAAGAGACAGAGACCCGAGGCTCAGGACGGAAGCCAGGGCCCAGAGCTTGCAGGGCGAGGCCTGGATGCCTCCTGCCGAGGCCAGGTCACCTTGTGCCTCGGGGAGGCCCCGCCTGCCAGGCTGTCCCCAAGGTGCCAACCACTGGGCCATCCTGGCGATGCTGACTCGGCTCTGAGGGAGGCAGCCGGATGTTACTTTCCATGACAACCCAACAGCCTGGCCCAGCCCAGCCAGGAGAAACGGGGCAGCTACAACTGTCCAGGACACCACTCGGCAGACCCACTCAGGTCACCCTTGTCAGGCTCCTCAAGAAGCCTGTGGTGTCCATCAAGTTTCCAGATCTCCCTAGGTCTTGGTTTCTGCATCTGAGACGTGGGGAGAAGCCTCACATCCTCGGAACCCAGACCCTGGGCATGGCTGCCCACACCGGCCCTCACCAGGGCCCGCCTGGCTGGAGCCAGTTGAGGTAGAAGGACAGTGCCTCACTGAGCAAGGCGGGTGCAGGGCCGGGAGGACAAGAGGCGATGTCTGGAGATGGGGCCTCGGGCACAGGTGCTGGCCAGAGTCAATAGGGTCTGCTGCCCTAGCGTGGGGGCCGCCATCGAGGGCCTGAGGCCATCCCTGGGTCTCAACCTGCCCCCCTTACATCGGACTGCCCCCCCCCCAAGGACCAGAACACCAGACCTTACACAGGGACCCTTCCTCGCCATCTGGGGGTTCCAGGCATTGCTTGGCTTGTGACCACTTCCCTCCAATCTCTGCCTCTGTCCTATGAGGCCCCTCCCCCTGTGCCTGCTGCTCCATGGTTCTCCCTTGTGAGGCACATGCAGTGGCCCACCTGGGGAGTCCAGGGTGAGCTCCAGCTCTCAGGGGCCTTGTCTCCCTCACACCCTAGCCACTGAGCTCATGTTCACTCTTGCCATCAAAGGTCACATCCATGGGTTTTGGGGAGTAGGACGTGGATACGTCTTTTTGGGGGCCACCATTCAGCCTATGAAAGGGGCCTTTCAAACAGACCCAAGCATATGAAGAGGGGAAAGAGCCATGCCAAAGGCCACAGACACCTGGAGAGACGGCCGCCCCATCCCAGGACAGAGATGTGCATGGAGACAGGACACCAGGTTTCGACGCGATTGCTTTTGGTTTTGTTTGACAGGATCTCACTCTGTATGCCCAGGCTGGAGTGCGGTGGCACCATCTCGGTTCACTGCAACTTCCATCTCCCAGGGCAAAGCCGTTCTCCTGCGTCAGCCTCCCGAGTAGCTGGGATTACAGGTACATGCCACCGCACTTGACTAATTTTTTCTATTTTTAGTAGAGACAAGAGGTTTACCATGTTGGCCAGGCTGGTCTCAAACTCCTGAACCTAAGTGATCCACTCGCCTTGGCCTCTCAAAGTGCTGGATTACAGGTGTGAGTCATGGTGCTCAGCCCAGGTTGACTGTTTTTTTTAGAAGTACAGAGTGCCCACCATTGGCCTGGCTGTGGTGACGTTGGCACTGCAGCCCTCGGGGAGAGGGTGAATAGGCACAGCCCCGCTGGGGGTCCTCTTGGCAGTCACTACACATCTGGGGACCCCGCTAGCCCAGCAGTGCCACGTCTGGTGTGCAGGAAGGCAGTGCCGTGTATGATGATGGCAACAGGGGACCCAGCCCAAGCCCATTCATCTCGAGGGGTGGCTGAGACATGGAAGATTCCACAGAATGAGGGAGGGGTGGGGGGCTTCCTGAGAAATGGCCCGGACACAGGAAGAGATGCAACATGCCCCTGCATGCATGGACAC